ATGACTGAAAAATTGTGCTGAACACTGGAATTTGACACAACACTGTAAAATGATTATGAATCAATAAAAAATGTAAAAAAAAATAAAAATTTTAAAAAAATTAAAAAAAAAGAATAAAGATGTATCCCTTTTGCAAAATAAAAAAAAAAGAAAAAGAAAAAAGGATTTCAGTGTAAAATATGATGAATGGACAATGGTACATGTATGATTTTGCCAATTTTGTGTTTAGAGACATTTCCAAAAAAAGCTTAAGATTTACCAAGAAGCTTCCACCACCTCTCTCTACCCCTCCCTCCCTCATACCTGAAAAGTTTGCTGCCTGTTTTAGAGCTTCTTGGAGATTCATTTTCCGTTGTTGAAGTTCCGTTAGTTTCTGGGATTTTTCATCCAGCTTATGGGCAAGGATTTCTATCATTTCTCTGAGCTCCTTCTGTGACTCCTCGGAGGATTTTTGTGCCTGGCGCTGGGCTGAAATCTGTCCCTCCAGGATATCTTCCTGGTGAGTAAAGTTTGCTTGCTGTTGCTTTAGAAGATCAGTCACCTGGGATACTAAACCATAACTGAATTAAGACTCCATTTCCAATCCCCAACAAAAGTGCCTCCACTGGAGTTTGAGGAAATCAAAGAAGCAAATCAAACCGTCTGGCTTTGGCAATAAACTACTGCAAAATGACCCAAACTGGCTTAGAAATTGAGGACTTGGAAGTTCTTTGATATTCCTGAAATATTTTTTTAACATTGGAAACAATCACAGATACTTGTGATCTAGGGGAAAAAAGGATTTTCCTTGCTATTGACCGTCACACACAAGTTAAAAGGAGTCACAAGAAAAAAATTATATCCAGTAGCATAAATACAATACAATCTAAGGTAGGCACCAGCCGGACTCAGTGACTATTCGCAGGCGTTGTCACTAATGATTTACCTTATTTGTGCCTTCATTCTGCTTTCATCTCTCTGCGCTTCCAGACTTCCGAATTTTACTCAAAAACTGTGACACTTACCCCATTTCTGAGAAACCCTCCCACCGGAATACGTTAAGCTACTGTGTCACAAGAGTCTGAAAACATGTTTTGGGTTTTAGTTTGTTATTTTTGGATTTATTTTTAGGAAGTTTGGACACGAAAGGAAGGTTGTGAAATCAAGCAGGCAACAAATGGTCAGAGTCCAGTGTCTCGGTTCTGGAAGTTTGATGGTTCAGTGCATAGTAGATCCCCTGACATGAAAGCCAGATTTGACCCTGTTGCAAAGGGGTCAGAGCCTCAGAAGAGTCTTCTAAATCACCACCAGCCAGTCAAGGGCTCTCCTCCCGATCATTAGAAAGGGCTTTACAGATTGAAAGTGTTCATAGACTGAAAAAAGTATGTAGTTTGCGACCCTAAATTGAGAAACAAATCAAAGACCTTAATAACCTGGACTCTAGAAGCCTACATAACTCAGATCTACCACTTAAATACATAGGTGGGTTAGATGGATGACTGGCACCATTTTCTTTCCATTTCTTATCCTCTTAACATCTCCTCCTTCCTAAATTGGCCATATTGTAAGTTTAAAGAATGTTTTCTTTTATTTATGAAGGCTGTGCTTCTGGCTTCTTAACTTTAAATTGGTACTTAATCATCTCTATTAACACTCAACATTAAATGAAGTTTCTTTTACTTTGGGGTCCCTCAGATGATCTTAGGGACTAGTAACTTCAAGTTATTTCCTTCCTCATTATTCTGAAAGGCAAACAGGCTCTCTCCATGAAGTTATGAAAACAAAACCAAACAAAAACCTACCATTCATCATCTTCACCCCATGCATGTCTCAACCTCTCTGAGGGAAGAGCAAAATATACCCATTCATCTTCCACTCACTCTAAAAACAGTTTGCCTACAATGTATCGAAATCAAGACTGTTTACAGTTGCTATGCAACAAACTTATAAAACGTGTACACGCTCTCATTTGTTCCTCCGTCTTTTCCCTGCTCAGCACTTACATTGTATTATCAGCATTATAACGGTCACCAGCAATCCCAGGCACAGGGTCCCCAGAGTCACAGCCACAGGGCACCACCTCCGAGAGGAAAGATGATGAAGACCTAGAGTGACAGGGGTAGAATCAGAAAGACAAAAATGATGGGGGCAAGCGATCAAACAATTCTTTGGACCCTGTCTGTACCTGGCGTTTTGCAGTAGTTGCCTCTACTCCTCCCAATGGCTCTGCACGTAATTCATCCCCCACATTTACAGATGAGACATATGGATGGTTAAAGAAGTCAAGCAATTTATCCATGGTCACACAACTGACGAAATTTAGGAGCCAGGATTCCATACCAGATATTTGACTCTAAATTTCTGATTCTAAAACTTCTGCTTTGTCCTCTCTCCCCACAATGAGTCTCCTCAGTCCAGTTTGGTTGGATTAACTTCCTCTGCAGGACAGAGAGCCTGATGTTTTTAACACAGACTATGTGTCTGTATGCACACAGACACACAACCATAGCAGGACCCTGGGGGGCCTTCCTGGGACAGATCTCTCCCCCATATCTTCTGCTGTAGCTCCTCTCTGAAGGACCCAGACAATAGTATCTCATGCATATTCCCCGAGTTTTTCAGATGCTAAAAACCACCACCAAAGGGAAGAAATTAACTACTTGAAGACTGTGAGCACGTGGCCCCCAGACCTTGTGGCATCTTGGGATTGCTGGTGTTGACCACCCTGTTCCCTCAGCATCAACCAGTCAGAGAATTGTGCACAAGCTGATCAGGTACCTGCCACCCCCTCCCTCACCTGGCCTTTAAATATGCTTTGCTGAAATCCTTAGAGGAGTTCAGGTTTTCTTGGGTGTGAGCCACCTGTCCCCCTCGCTCAGCCTTGCAATAAGCCTTTCTGTGCTCCACACTCCAATGTTTCGGCTTATTTGGCCTCACTGTGCACAGGGCACATGAACTCGCGTTCAGCAGCACACACAGTTATAAGTAATGTACCACAAATTGATGTCAGACACCAAGCAAGTAAACCTCTGGTCAGTTAATCGCCTGAGATAGCCTCAAAGAACTAAGACGCAGTTTTGTGCTGTTCAATTTTTATTCCACTAAAGTTACCTTGAAGTTGGGGTCAGTGACCAAGGAAAAACAGGAATGAAACCTCAGTATTCACTTGATTCATATTAACATCATGTCCTACACTCATACCAGCTGTAGCCCTCTTGTTACAAGAGACAAATTCCCCATTATTACAAAAATGATAAATCATGTAGCTCACAGATGTATGGATATCTAATTATGTGTCCCACCACTTAAAAAGCACAGATATGACTGGTTCCAGAGGAAAACATTCATGTAATGGATTTGGACTCCTCACCTTGTAAGATAAGCAAGTAAGGCACTGCTAATGTTATCCTTTATGTGCAAATAAGGAAACTGAACATTGAGTGACTTGCCTGAGATCACACAGATGTTAAGCTCCAAACATAGGTCTTGAATCCAATCAGTAGCTACATGATTTAGAACATCACACTCACAAAAGTTCCAGTGTGAATGTGTCATGATCCAAATCAACAAAGCTCAAATATAGTCACAGAGTTCTCATGCATCAAACGCACTTCTATTGGACTGAACAGATGATACAAACAAAACAGAAATTTTTGACAGGAAAGAATATGGTTCATCCTCTGATTGGAAAGTTACTAAGCTTCTAGAATGTGTGTGGCAAGTTGGCAGAAAAGAAGTTGAAGATAGTTTTGTGTCTTGCAAATAATTGCCCGATCCTTGCCTTAGGGGCAAATATCTGAGCACATCTTTCAATGAACATTTCCCTCTGGTCAATATTTATTCCATATTCTCAGAGAGCAGTCCTCGCTCTGCAACTTACTAGCTGCATAAAACTGAATAATTTAGTTAATCCTCATGATCCCCAGATAGTCCTCTATGAAAGGGAGGTAATAGGAGCCCTAATCTCAAGGTGTGAAGTTTTAGAGATGTAATGCATGTAAAATGAATATCGTAGAGCAAGCCTGTCGCCAGCGTTCAGTAGAAGTTAGTCATCATTCTCCACAACATCCTCATTCAGATCAAGTTCGTTTATTCATCACATCACCTCTGTTATCACCATCATAGCTGACTTGTTTTCCTTTTAAGTAAATGTGATTAGCCCTTTAATGTCTTCCCATACTTGGATGTTTTAGTCCTCTAATCCTGTATCCAATTAGTTTACGTTTTTAAGTTAATCCTGCCCTTGTACACATTTATCCACCCCTGGTACCTTTAGCTTTTTCTCCATTTGGCTTCTGATCAGGTTGATCCTTCACGGTCGTGCTCCTGAGGTCTTCAAAAGTCATTACCAAATCTATTCCAAGAATGAGCGAGTGAAGCGGTCAAGGACTTCTACAAAGTAAAAATGCATGAGCTCCTGCTGGAGTGTTTAAATAGCTCCTGCTGTCCAACAGAATGACCCAATCATTGGTAGGAGGAAGGAGAGGCTTTGCTTCATACTGGGAAGTTGGCTGACGCAAATTCTTGAGTTATGTCTATTGCAGGAGGGGGGAAAGTGGTGATTTGGATAGCGTTTCAGGATATTTCACTAAGTAATTTATGAAAGGGAAAACTGTATTTTTCATAAGCATTAGAGGAGAGGAATTTGTACCTAGGCTTCAGATAAGGAAATTGAAATTCAAAAGTGTAAGTCACGCTAAATTTGCTGAAGAGCGTGCATTTAGCCCAGATTATTTGAGTCCAAGATCCATATTTGTTTATTTCACTGTAGCAGACTATCTCTATACTGTGTCTTTCATAAGTCTCACATTTTCCTTTTTAATTTGGACTTGTTTCATCAGCAATAGTAGTAATACTCAGCACAGCTGAATTGCCCATCAAAGAATGCGTTTTATGCATGATTGACTTGAGGCACGAAGACTCTTCGGTGGGACCCCAGTAAAGATCCTTTATGTATGCACTGGTAGAATTCTCACCTATTTGTCTCTCACAACCTCCTAACCAGATAAGAAATGTCTCATTGCTGTTTATACTTTTAAAAAAAATCCTTATCTTTAAAGATATCTTCTAAAATAGTTATGGGCAAAATCATATGATATCTGATACTTGTCTCAAACTACAACAGGAAAAACTAAAAGGAAGGAGATACACAAAAGAAGATTGGAGAAAAATATAAATAAATAAAATATCTAGGAAACTATTAGGAAAAATCACCAATACTGACAGCCTAATTAGGGTTCCATTTCCCTCCCGCCTCTAAATTTTTTTTATTCTCTTTTCCTGTGCAGAGTATCTGAGACCAAAGTGAAGAAAGTTTATCTATCACTTAAAGGTTTATTCTATGACAGTTCACAAAAGAAAGCTCAGCACATAGCAAATACACTCTAGTCAAATCAACTTGTAACGAATCAATGTTACTTACTTTTATCACTCAAGCCCCATCTCACCTCCCTTGATTGTGAGGAGGAAAGACTAGAAACATTACAGCATTCACCATGGTGACTGTCCCATAAATAGAATCTCAGGAAATTATTTGAATGATGAGTTAATAAATACTAAAATGCTACCACAGGGAAGAGGACACCGTATCATTTTCCACGGTGACACAGCGATTTCGGGTGCCATCAGTATTCTAGTGGATTACGAGACATACAGGTATGCCGAGATGTATAGGTACGCGCGTTCATGAAATGGGCATGACACATGTTTCTTGTGAGCTCATCACATCCTAGTAACCTTTTATGGGTTGTCCTGGGAAGAAGTGTCTCCGGTGGATATGTGTGAGTTTACAGTTAAAATACCCAAAGAAACACAGGATCAGAAAGAAAGAACTATATTCTTTAGGGAAGTCCCAAGATGCAGCTAGATGTCTCAGACTTCTGCTCTTCACCTCCACGCTTCACCCACGAGGCCCAGGAGAACATGATCACCCATTGTCCTTGGGGTCAACACTCACAGGAATCTCACGGAGGAGTCCAGGGCCTGGGGCGGGGGCGGTGTGCTCTACAAATCTTGCACTCCCTTCAAAAACAATTCCTTTTTTTCCTTAAAAAATCTTCTCAAAACCTATAAGTTGGATTGCCATCATCATTTTTTTTAATTTTGTATACTCTAACAGTGCACTGCATTAATGTTCAATTCCATTAACATTTTTCCATCTCGCCAACTAAATTATATGCCCTTTAAAAGTAAGCTCCTTCTATTAAGAGATTCTCATTCTTTTCTACCAGCCTGGAATACCAGATATTGTGCAATAGTCTGCAAACTAATTTCTCCTGACAGTTAACGCTTGAGATTCTTAACTAGGAAGACATCACCAACTGGATTTTTAAACTACATTTAAAGAAAACCTCTCTCAGCTCTTTTATTTTGAGAAAGTGGAACTAAAGTCCCCTTCCGCCAAGATTTAAGTGGTTTACTGAATATCTCTTTTCTCTCTGATGCTAGACAAGGACTCAGCTCCCTGGTCTTTCAATTATACCAGATGATAAAAGACATGGGTGGCTTCTTCTTGCTGCTTTTATAAATGCAATATGACTCTCTCTCAAAGGATTCAGAGACAGACTTTTCAGATCGCCAAGGCAGAGGATACTCAGTTTGTAGGCGACGTTAAACATAGTGTGGAGTAAGGCACAGCCACACCAGCATCATCCTCAGATCTCTTCCTGACATCCTTCCAACCAGAAGTTCACATGGAGGAGCCACAGCACGGAGAATGTCAAATGAGACCTGTCACTGTCTTCTGGGTGATTTAGCCCCTCAGTGTGGCCATTTTTTGCTTTCCCTTTTCAAGCCTGTTAGAAACAAGTAGGTTCCTCTTTTTTTTTTTTTTATTGTAGTAAAACTTACATAACATAAATTATTTTTTTACCATTTTAGCCATTTTTAAGTGTACAGTTTAGTGGCATTAAGCACATTCACCTTGTTGTGCAACTGGCACCACTATCCATTTCCATAACTTTTTCATCTTCTTCAACTGAAACTCTGTATCCATTAAACAATAACCCCTGTGACTCCTGTGATGGTTGATTTTATGTGTCATCTTGAGTGGCTCACAGCGGGCCTGGATGTTTGGTGAAACATTCTTCCAGTGTTTCTGCAAGGGGGTTTTCATATGAGATTCACATCTTAATCAGTAGAGTAAGGCAGATTTCTCTCCACAATGGGAGTGGGCCTCGTCCAATCAGTTGAAGACCTGTATAGACCAAAAGACTGACTTTCCTCCAAAAAAGAAAAAATTCTCCAGCAGACAACCTTTGGACCAGAACTGCAGCATTGACTCTCCTACATCTTAAGCCTGGAGATTTGGACTTGTCAACCTCCGTGATTACATAAGTCAGTTTCTTATAATAAATCTCTTCCTCTACATATACAAATTCTACTGGTTTCATTTCTCTGGAAAACCTGATTAATACAACTCCCAATTCCTTCCCTCTTCCAGTTCCTGGAAACCACTATCCTACTTTCTGTCTTGATGAAGTTGACTCCTCTAGGAAGCATACAGCATTTGTCCTTTTGTGTCTGACTTGTTTCATTTAGCATAATGTCTTTAAGGTCCATCCACATGGTAGCATGTATCATAATTTCCTTTCCTTTCAAAGCTGAATTAATATTCTACTGTATGTGTATGCTACATTTTGTTTATCTATTTCTTCATTGGTGAACATTTGGGTTTTTCCTGCTTTTGAAAGGTCCGTGGGGATAATTTCCATAATCTTTATGGGGCAGAGAGCTGGACAGACTTGGCAGACCTCAAGAGGTTCTCACTATCCCTGCCTCCCGATGTTCATGCCCTTGTGTGTTCTCCACCCCCTGAGTGTGGGCGGGACCTGTGGCTTGGAGTGCAGCAAAGGTAATGTCATGTATGTGGGTCACAGAAGGTATAGTGCCTATGTCATTAGGGTTTCTCTCTCTCTGCTCTCCTCTCTGTCTGCCTGAACTTAAACAAGCAAGCGTGAATTCCATAGTCACAGAAAAATGGATTCTGCCTAAGGGAGCTTACAAGTGATTCCTTCCCCAGTTAAGCCTTTGGATGAGAACACAACCCAGTAGGCACCGTGTTTGTAGTCTCGTGAGACCCTAAACAGAGGACACACACTTCTGACCCATAGATATTGTGAGATAAGAAATGTGTGTTGTTTTACATTATTGCTTAATTTGTGGCAGTGTGTTGCGTGGTATATAAAACTGATGATCCTGTGATAATCTTAGCCCTCTTGTTTTGTTAAACGTTCTTAAATCTAATCCTTTTACTGACCTTCAGTACCTCTGAGGTTGACGTTCGACCCTTAGTCTGCTGCCTTGGGTCATAATATATCAACGCTATAGTTGACGTCTTCCGAGTGGAGCTCCCACTAGTTGCAAGAGAGAACTGGTTTCTCCTGCTACATTATCTATTTCTGGTTGGGTGTTTTTTTGCTTTTTTTTTTTTTTTTTAATTGAAGGTGCTGGGGATTGAACCCAGGACCCTGTGCATGCTAAGCACACACTCTACCACTGAGCTATTACCCCCCCCCCATAATATCTATTTCTGAAGACACGGCTGTGACCAAACTCCCTACTCAGCTCTTTATAGCTCACTCTTGATGACTCGGGCTAATAGTAGTCCTAGAGCCCGTCTCACTGGGGCAAGGGAGGCAGGGAACCCACAGAGGTCACCTGGCTAGGCAAGGTCAAACGGAGAACAACCACAGGAGCCAGCAGTGAGCAATTGTTTAGCCGCGCTTGCTGCAGCCTCTGTACAACACTTCCCCGCAGCACAGGTGAAAGGCCTGTGTACAGCACCCTCCATTGGTTCCGCTCCACGTCCTGAACAGCCTGGTGTGAGCTAATGATTCACGAGCGTCGGGAACCCCAACAGGACCGTGCGGGGCTGTAACAGGACCATTCCCCTTTCCCTTGGCCCCCCGCCCTTCCAGTGTGCACCTCCTTCCGTCTTCCCACCTGAATCCTCTTTCCGCTCACACCCATCTCCACATGGACGCTTCGATAGGGACTGAGCTCGGAGTTAAAATTGCCAGAAGGCATAGAATCACTTCCATTAGGATCAACCAGACGTTCTGTTTCTCCAGGGAATATTCCGGTGGGGACAGGGGTGGGGGGAGGGGAAGTGGCAATAGTCATTCTAAGAAAGAAAAAGTAACAAGAAGGTCATTAACAGAATCCTATTTTGTTCAAACCTGCTAGGAAGCCAGAGGGCAAAAAAGATGATGGTAATCACATGGCAGGTAAGTGCACCGGGGAGAAAAAGTCATGTTCACGGGCAAACCTGTTCATGCAGGTGAAGGCTGGCATGCTCGGGGGAAGAGAGGTCAGGAGAGCAATGAGGGGGATATTCAAGACCTGGAATTCTAGGAGAGCTGAAACACGGTCATGGTAACAATAGACATGAGAGGCTGGAGGACATCAGTCACCCAGCGTTTTGAAGATAAAAGTCATCGGTAAAGCTGAGTGGAAGGTGGGGAAGGTATGGCTCAGTGGTAGGGCGCGTACTTAACATGCGTGAGGTCATGGGTTCCACCCCCAGTAGCTCTGTTTAAAAAGTAAGTAAACCTAATTACCTCCCACTCCAAAAACAAAAAAAAAAAAAAGTGGAAAAAAATTGAGTGGAAATCAAGACAATCTTAGTTAACACTCACAAATATATCAGGACTATCCAATGCACTTCATACACATTAACATGTTTAACGTCAGTAAGGGTACGAAGAAACAGTCTTATTATTATTCCCCCAATTTATATAGGATGAAACGGAACCAACAGAGAGATGTAATAACTCTCCCAAGACCCCACAGCTGGTAAGTGACAAGGTAAGTATTTAGTCACCGACAGCCCAGCTGGATTCTTAGCCATGAGGCCCTTGTGCCTCACTGACAAGAGAACGAGAAGGGCGAGGTCAATGATGCTCCGTGGGAAAGGCTGGCTGAATAGAGACGTTCTCATCAAAATGCCTCCATGTCTCCGATTGCATTTCCTCTGTGAACAACATCTCGGGCAGGTCAAGTGGGCATGCCACTCCTCCTTCATAAATGGTAAACTGAGGGCGGGGAAGCTACGTAAGCACGTGGTGGAGGGCCGAGATGAGAGTCCCGCTCCCTGGTCCAGCAAAGTACCTCCCATCTGGCCAAGCTCTCTGCTGAAATTTGGAAAGTACACTTACATCTAAAAGAGTAACAAAGAGGCCCTTTAGCTTTGGAATTGAATGATTTTGAATCAGCAGTATCATATCAGGCTGTTCGCTCATGATTTGATTTTCTGAGCTAAAAAAAAAAATTAAGTTTATGTTCTCCATTCTCATATCACATTGGCATGCCATGCCATGTGAGGGCTTTTTGAATCAACTCCACTCAACAAGTTGCCCCTCAAGAACTCTCAGTAAAATGAGACTTTCAGGGTTAGAAAGGACCTCAAAGGTGGTTTTATTGAATTCTTATGAGATAGATACACCCTGTAAACAAATGTCTTATTTTCTTATGAAATACTTTGTATTTTAAAAAATGTTTTAATACTTTGTATTCAGTCAAAGAGTATTGGCTTAAGCATAGATCATTTCTGTAGCATTCATTTGCTCCTGGAGAGATGTTTCTTTCCAAATATTCTATGTCCTTTCCATGTATGCTTACTTTGGCTCTGACTTTAGATTTTATAAGACAGAGTGAGAGGCATATAGATCTTGAAACTCAGTCTTTAAAAATGTCTGTTTAATTTAACTGTTTCAATGGAAATTGAAGTCAGGGTGGAGGGGGATTTCATGGACAGCACCCAGAAATTCTAATCTTCAAATCTGCTCTCTCCAAAGATGGGAGAGCTTTCCAGTTCATTTGGCAACTTCTCAGTCCTACTCCAATGTCTAAGAATAAATGACCCAGAACCAGGAGAGTTGATTATCAACACGGTGAAGGGGAGGGTTTCAAAGAGCAAGAAAGGAGGGCTAATCACATGGAGAGGGGAGTAACTGGAGATTGGCAGGGTCACTTTCAAAGTTCAGCAG